GGTATATTTCCTTGTTTGCTTTTCTATAGAAATCTGTTTAAAAAGGAAAACAAGTGCTAATGTTAATTATCATTTTGTATTCTTCTCCTAGTTAATATTTTATTATTTTATCATTTATTACTTTCTTTTTAAAATATGCTTCAAAATCTACTATTTTAGTGATAGTAATCTCACATGTTTTATTGTTTACATTTTTATTATTATAGATTGATTATTCCTAATCTGAAAATATAAAATGAAAAATGTTACAATATCTGAAACTTTTTGATCACTGAGATAATATAACAAGTGAAAAATTTCACAGCATGAAACCTCTTTCCGGTTCAGACCTGGGTCTCATTGTCAAGATATCTTATTAAGTTTATGCAAATATTCCAAAGTCTAAAATTTCCAAAATCTGAAACACTTCTGATCCCATGCATTTTAAATAAGGAATATTCAATCTGTACTAGTAATATTTATGATGCTTTATAATGTTATTAGCTATGTGTATCTTAACCTGTGACTTCTGTACTCATACCTTTATAAATTATATTTAGACTTCAGTATATTTACTGATTTACGTATACACTTTGTGTATTAAAAGATCACATTTTGCTTTACACTTCAGCCAGTCTTTCTGTGGCTTAAGTAGCAATTAGTATTCCCTTGTCTTCTGAATTTTAACCTTGCAGTGAACACATAAAAACAGTTGATCTTTGTTCCATTTTAGTTAGTCATATTTTCCCCCTAGGATAGATAGATACTTGTGCATTAAAAAAAAACTATTTTTAAATGCCTACATATTGGTAGATAGATACATTTTCATGTTGCTTGGAAAGTGGTCAATTCTTTCAGTTTCCATGGAAGGATATATCAGCTCTCGAAAGATGTTTTCAATTTATATTTTTGATAATTGTTTTTTCCAGCTCTCCTGATTTCTTTTTCTGGATGGTATGTCAGTTGGTTGGTTGCATCTCCACTCCTTGCCTATCATGCATATCGTATGATCTCTCACTTGATACATAATTTAGTCTTTATTTTCCTGACTACAAGGAGAGCTTCTTTAATCAGTTTTTGAAGAAAGTGATTTGACTTTATGTGGAGCCTATTCTGCCCAGCTAATGACAATTGGAAGTTAGTTCTTTTAGAGTGTTGTTTCCTTGTAATTAATGCTTCATCATGCCACTTAGTTCCCTTTGCTCCTGAGCTTAATGTCTCTGCATTTTATCCTGTGGATTTTGCATTCAGACTTGTTCTCTCCTTCTATGGATTTGTTCTCTTTTACAGTACATCTTGCATCCTTTAAGTTGATCACAAACACAGTTGAGCATTAATGTCACTGGAGAAACATTTTTAAAATATGCATGCCTACAGTGTATGTTTAGAGATTCTGATTGGTTTCTTTTCAAGGGTTAGAGAGAGGATGGAAAAGAGGGGTAAGAGAAGTTATTATTGAAAACTAAAAAGGATAAAGAAAAGAAAACACCTCCTCAGATAAATCTGGTCCTCTGCGGGAATGGCTGCTATATATGACACTGATATTTGGCTACATGATACAGCTGAAATGTATTTGTGTATTTTGGGTAACTTCTTCTTCAAGAAGAAAAGCAGAGGAGGTAATATAAGAAAATTTCGGGGCTGGGGATGTGGCTCAAGTGGTAGCACGCTTGCCTGGCATGCGTGCAGCCTGGGTTTGATCCCCAGCACCACATACAAACAAAGATGTTGTGTCCGCCAAAAACTGAAAAATAAATATTAAAAAATTCTCTCTCTCTCACTCTCCCTCTCTTTAAAAAAATAAAAAATAAAAATTGCACCTTGTTGTATAAAACAATTAATAACATATTAATACTATGTAGGTTCTCAATTCTTCCCTAAGGTTTTAGCAGGACTAGCAAATCCTTGAATGTTTTCTGGGAAACTGATATATATTAATCTTGTTTTTTTTTTTTTTTGAAGTAATTTACTCATCATTTTTTCCTGAATCTTTACATATTTCATGGAGAAACTGGAAGTGGCATCTTTATGGACACAGGAAGCCAGAGACCAGGTGGATACTTTCAATTATTTTTATATTATTAAATCAATACTTCACTGATTTTTTATATCAGTCTGTCAATATTTTATCAATATAAATTTTATATTAGTAAATCAATATTTGGGGGAGTATGAAATACTCTTGTGTGCTGTATTCGACACCAAATGTTCTACAATAGAATAAACTTTTCCTGTGTATGATATCATATCCTTATAAAGAGTTTTATTTATTCCGCAAATGTTGAACTGGGTCTGCTTCTGAAACCAAATTTCTAAGGACAAATGTGTAAGTGTTGGTATCCACCCCTAGCAACACATTATTCTTCTCAGTGCATGTGAATTACATTTTGAATAATAATAATTTCAGTGTGTCTATTCCCTCACCAGCAATTTACTTTGAATTAGAAAAAAATAAAATTTAATTTCTTTTGCACTGGACTTATAAAGCACCTCTGTTCAATTACCTTAAATGAGAATACCAGGGGAGATAGTTTATGTTTTATATATCAAGATAATTTCCAAATGGATCCATGGACTCAAGTCATTCATTAGTATGAGCAAATGAATCCTTAGTATTTTATATGTAAACTTTATTTCCTTTACAGAAAATCACAAAATTTCTCATTTCCATAATGTAGTTAAAAAAATAATTTCGGGGGGAGGGGAATGGGAATAGGAAAGATGGTAGAATGAATCAGATATAGCTTTCCTATGTTCATATAGGAATACACAACCAGTGCAACTCCACATTATATACAACCACAAGAATAGGAAGTTATATTCCATGTATCATGTATGGATAATATGCCAAAATACATTGTACTGTCATGTATAAATAAAAATAATAAAAAGTTCAAAAAAATAATTTCAACAGGGAAATAAAAGTCTGTGTTTTGAATTTCACTGTTTTTATTGAAGCTGCAAATTTTCTGAAAGTTCAGACTACTTTTTACATACAGAGAAGGGGGAATAGGCTTGTAGAGATTGGAACATCAACTCCCACTGATCTGGCCAGCAGACAGAATTGGAGTTTCATGATGTAGCTGGGTAATTCAAGTCACAGTTACAAAGTGAATCCTAGAGGTGGTGGGAAATAATAATCAAATGAATATGGTCCCTGACACATTCACAGCATTCACATCTTTTCTGGTTTTTAATTTTCCAGTGTAATGCATTTGTGAATAGCTTCTCTCAGGTGTCTAATGACACAGCTCATTGTTATAAATTTATGATGCACAGAAGACCAGCAATCACGGAGGCCTATCATTCAATTTTGTTTATTATTTAACTTTAGGTTCTACTTCCAAGCAAAATGTAGACATGCTGTGGAATGGTGAAACATTTTTGTGTTTTTTTTCTATAACTACCTGGAAAAATCATGGCAACTCATAATAATTAGTCATTTTAACATGTATGGGTGTATGGGTGTATGGATGTATGGGTATGCATATGTATGTGTATGCATACATGTATGTACAGGTAAGTACACATCCAATTTTTTTAAGCTTCTCAAATACAAGAGTTAATGATCTTTGTCTTCACATATTAAAGATTCTTAAAACATAAAGATTCCATCAGTCTTATTTCCCCAGTGAGTGGTTGGAATGATTACATTGAATCCTCATATCACAGGCTCAAGAAATGTGTCCTCCTGGACAAATGGTTATGAATGCTTTAGGTACCATATTCAGTTTATTTTTCCCACCTTCTTCAGGACACACTCTGTGGCTCTGACTTGAATTATTCAACCACATCATTAGTGGGATAGGAAGTTCAAGGAACTTCCTCTGCAAAAGTTAATTTAAGATCACAACAATAAATCAGTCAAAAAAAGGGACAATATAACCAACATTGGTTATTTCTTCGTTCATTTATTTATTCAGCAGAAAATTAATTGACTTCCTACTGTGTAAATCATGACTTAGATTCCTGAATCTACTATATTAACAAGTTTGTCCAGTCTTTTCTCTCACTTTAGAAATCCAGTAGCCAAGCACCACTGAAGAGATTGGAGAACATCATTACCAGCTTACTGCTTAGATCAATTTTTAAAATCAGATAGGTTTGGGTTCACATCTTTAGTGAACTTGGGACATCTCTTTTTATACATTTATAAATCTGAAATAATTATACCTATCTTACAGGATGCTAGCAAGAATTAAATAGGGATAATACCTATAATGGCACTTAACCTATTTGCTAGCATAGATCAGGTACTTGAGAAATATAATTTCCTTTGTCACCTAAATCCTCTTATCTATCTCTTTGCCTTTTGTTGAATAGACAAAGTTAAAGGTTTGAAAAGTGTCACAGAGTACATTAATAACAAACAGTGAAACACAAGGTGGACCATGTACTTTAGTAATCAGTAGGTTTCTCGGTGTTGAGATATCAGATTATATATCTATATGACAGATAGTTCTAAGATTTCAATTCAACCTTTTTTTTAAGGGTAAGTATAAAAATAAGATGCAGAAAGCTGTTGGTTGGTTAAGAGTTGGGGTGAGGAAAGTTTTTCTCCCTTGTTATCATATTTTATGTGGAATCATATTAGGGTATAATCTTAGTCCTTCTCTCATTTTTCCATTTAGTTCATATTTCCAAGTAAAAGAAGTAATAACACCCAACTCATGAGTCTGAGAGCAAGAACTCTGCAAGGGTGGCCCATTGCTCCTTGCCCTGCCCTTGAAATCTAACTACCAGCAGAGAGCACATTTTTCATTTCCTTCTAGGTCTCAGGATAAGACAGGACCTCATCCTTTGGTAGGAAAGCCTGTGGTTCTCCAGCATTTCCTGTGTCCAGATTGCTACACCAAATTGTGGCATTCAGTATTAACGGACTCATTTTCTACCCAAATCAAAGCCCCATTTTCCTAACACAATTGTGATTGAAGTGCTAGTTTTCTTATTTTGGTGTATTTCTTTGTCCTTTTCAATAGGATCAGAATCTACATGGGACAAAGTAATGCATTTAAATTAGAACCCCTCCAACTACAATAATAGTTACTAAAGAAAGAATCTATTCTTTTAATCTTTAAGAACAAATTATTAAAGCCAAGAATGAAGACTGTTGATTATTAGGCTTCTCAACAACATATCAAGAAATGAGTTATTGATTGAGACCAGCCAATGGATACATTCCCTTCCAAGAGGTAGGATAAATGTGTTGATGTTTCTTGCAGATTGAAGAGAACTTCCACATATATACTGAAGTGGGAAAGTAATTGGTCAACTCAGAGAGACTCCAATTTAAAGTACAAAGGCATTTTTTTGTTTTGTTTTGTTTTTTCCCCACTGTTAGGAAAGCAGGAAATTCTACACGCTTACATACCCACCAATTCACTTAAGAGGATAGAGCGGAGTCCTTGCAAAAGCTCAGGGTTGACCCCACAGGCAGATTATGCAAATTGTTGGGTAAAAACTAATACAAATATTTAACTTCAGAGGATTCTGCTTCAAAAACTTCAAGTAATTAATGAGTAGGATTAAAATCAACCCAGTTTCAATATTGGGCTTTGAATCTCTGCATTCAGCATTAGGATCAGGTAATAAAGTTGAGCTGAGTTGACATAGCCAACAAAGCAGACATTCACAAATATTTTATAGACATGTAAATGACCCATGGCTAAGTATTTCTTTTACAGAAATTTTCAAAAAAAAATGGTGATGATGTGATGTTTTTCTGTTGGTGATACATCCCATAAGAGCATATGGCATGGACATTCAAGTGGTAGTTTAGGAAATGAGATACAGCAGTTTTCATTACATGCCCTCATTTATCCAAGAGTAATGAACTATGTTAAAAGCAACACTGGACTGCTAAGCTTTGGAGTCACAGTTATTCAAAGTAAAGCCCACAGCAGTGGTACAGGGCATCTTGTTTCTTTATGGGCACTGGTAAAACACATGATTTGAAGACATGAAGTATTGGGAGAAAATATTTATGGACTCAATTAGACTTTGATGTTTATGAAAGAAAAAATCATCCAAAAAATGTACTACATCTAGTGAACTCCTATTAAAGAATGCAGAGGAAGTGAGGTAATGTTAACAATTCATCTATTACCAAAAAGAAGATGAAGGATATGCATAATGAACCCAAATGCACTAACTCACAAAAAGCCTCCTCTACTAACATTACTGTAGAAATTATTCATAACTGTCTCTTAAAATAACTATAGGGAGAGTTTGCTGTTCTCTTTTATTTTAGATTTCTGTTCAAATGTCATTAAAATCAGAGAGGCTTTTTCTGGCCATTCAACCTAAAACATAACTCTACTCAAACATAACCCTATCCCACCATTCCCATCTCCAACATTTTGTACCTTCAACATTTTGTACCTCCAACCAGTTTCAATAGTCTTCAAACCAATTCTGACTACATAATATTTCCCTTATTTTCTGTCTTTCTGAAAAATAGAGTGATCTCCACGACATTTGGTTTCAGTACTGCATCTTTAGCATGTAGAAGAATCCTGGTACAGAGCAGGTATTCAATATATATGTTGGTTTTCCTTTAATCACATACATCCTATTGCTTCTTTATCATTCTATCTTGCAAGCTTCCTTTAAAGCAATGAGTGAACTGTGAGGACAGCCCAGGGCCAGTTAGAGATGATGTCACAACCCACTATGACAACAGGATAAGATTTCAAGTTGGCTCCTATAGGAAATGAATTAATGCATGCCACCTTAAAAATAAGTATGAGATAATGGTGTTGTGGATGCTGTATAACCAAGGGGATGGCTTATTCTTATTTCTTTGCATCTGTAACCACATGTGGTTACAGATGCAAAGAAACCACAATACTTATCATGTCAGATTCTTTTGCAGCTAATGGGGGAAACAGTGTAATTGTGTTAGCCTCTGAGATGTGAGCACAAGTTGCTGAGTTGTTATTCTAGAAAATCTTGTAAAAGAGCAGAATTAGCCATAATGTTCCGTTGTCCATTCACCCTTTTCTTCATTTTATTGGATTAACTGTGGATACAAGAGCTGGATCTCTAGAAGATATCACATAAATGTACAGCTTGAAAATAAGAGACAAAGGATGTCAGGAAATACCTGTTCTTTGATGGTGCTCAGGCATTTACTCTTCACTGTGTACCTGGGTCCCTCTTAGTACACAAGTGAAATAGACACCTGTCAATTAGGCCATTGTTAGCTAAATCTTCTTCATTTTTTCTTTTCATGCTCATGGAAATACACATTCCCTGGCTAATAACATTCATCTATAAACCCTGAGGTTTAGAAAGAATAATAGCAGACCAGATCCTTGGTTTAGAGCTGTAGCAATATGGAGATGGAATAAATTTTAAGAATTTGGAATGAGAAAGCTGTTTTACTCAATCTTACCTCTTTAATATGTGGTACACTGCCTGCTATATATACTAGACAATAAAAATGTTTGCTGACTGATGCTTTTTTTCCATATTTTTAGTAGACTATTTTGTAATAACACAACACTTAAAAGATATATTAGGATGTATAGAAGAAGGTCTAGTAGCAAATCTTAATTTAATGGATAACAGTATTTATTAAGTAATTAACATTTACTGAATTCATATTATCATCTAGGCACTATGGTCAAATTATTTGTACATTTAAAAAAATTCTCACAGCAATTCTATAACCTACGTGTTATATTATCACTACTACTGCTGCTACTGCTACAGAATTTCAAAAATACTTAAATAACAAGCAAATATCACATAGTTAGGTGATATAAGAACCAGTATTCAAGGTCAATGTTATCTCTAATCAAACCTATGTTCTTAAATAGTATGTACTAATAAAATATTCTAAAGCTGTTTTCTCCAAAAAAGAATTCTTTAATTCTGAAAAGCTATTTTTGGCAAAAGAGCAAATAGACATAAAAAGTTCATTTGTGTTAACAATTATTTATTATTAATCAATTGTCACTTCCTAAATAAGTTGTTATGAAATTCATTATTGCTGATACATCAGTTGGAGTTTTTATATGCACACAAGAGGATGGGGAGGTAAATACAGCCATTCAGATGGAGAGTTTCATGTGAGCTCTGGGTTGCTATTGGGACTCTAGATTATTTGCAGCATTTTTATTTTAAAATCCTGGAGTCTTTAAAATGTGACACCACAACCTGCATAGCGGGATATTGATAAGAACAAGAATGAAGGAGGTGATTCCGTAGATACTTAAATGGCAAAAAATATAGTGCAAGTTTCACACGCCCTGGAGACAGCGGGTTTATATGATAATAAATAATAGTTACCACCAGGACAAAGGAAAAGGTGCTATGAAATCCAATAGCTCAGGGAGAAATCTGCTAATGCAGGTGGTCGAGCCTGTTCCATTTCATTGTCAAAGGGAGGCTATTTATTTTCTTCTAGGTGGTTAAATTACAGAGTCATTTATTGCTGAAAGTTTTCCAGTAGGCAGATGTGAATCTAAAGCTTTAGGCTTTAGGTTCAAAGTTTGTGAGGAAAATAGAATAAGAATTTACTTCATGGATATCACAACTGATAATATAAAATATGAGAGAACCTCTGGAAATATCCCAATTGAAGCCTCCTTACTATGTACCTTGCGTATAGATCAAGGGCCAAAATTCTGGATAGAGTAAATAATAATTTTAAAGCTCTTTCAAATATTTCCCTTTTGATAGTCTCTCAACTGGAAAAGATGTCAATGAGTGTGTGTGTGTGTCTGTGTGTGTGTGTGTGTGTGTAAGAAAGAGAGTTTCCTTGTGCACCAGAATGCCAAGAAATAGGAAAAAATACTATTGGCTCCCCAGTAGCTATAAATTAATGTCAACTTTCTGTTCCTGTTTATATCAAACAACTTAAGTGACTTATTGTATATGTTATGCATATAATTTTATATGGTGTTACATATATGTGTATGTTTTCTGAGCATATTTTATAATACATGCTGCATTCATTATTTAAAAGCTGCTATAATCCAGCAATTTCCAAAACTCAGGAGTTTAACAATAGAATAAATCAAAGATATCCCACTAACAAGTTTTCTCTACGTACTATTTAAAACCATTTTCTCACCAACAGGTGTTGCTTTCCCTTCATAGTCAAGTTATATTTTGCATAAAACTAACAGCTGTTTTTATTATTTGTTTTTTGGGTACAGAAAATTGCTACTGAGGTTGCCACTGACTCTTCACCGACTAACCTTTAAACCAAGACATGTATGTAATTTCCTTATTAATCAAATATATTAACTTTATCCATCTTAGTTCATGACCAAAATCCAAAGCTTCCAGGCATAATCCTGATGAAGAATATATTACACAGCTGAAAGAATTCAAATTCTAATTTATATTGCCTTGAATAGCAATTAAAGGGTCATAAAGGACAAAGAGTCCACGAAAGTAATCTGTAAGGGAAGTGACTTGTAACCAAAGGTGAACAGATGTGGGCTGCATCCGCTTGCCCAGAGGCAACTGCAGATCCTGTGGACTAGTATCCCACCTCTAGCAAGCTCAAGTTGAAATTGGAAAATGTTGCCGGAAATTGTTAGCAATTACATCAAAATCTGAATGACTGAAAATTTGATTACTCCGTCCTTATAACACTGAGCTCTAATAGGGACCAATAAAGGCTACGGTATACATGCATCTGGCATTACTGCCTCAAATTAGGTTTTCAAGATCTGCTGGGTATTTACTCCCAATTTTGACAATCTAGAGATACAAAAGGTCAGTACTATTAACTATACAATGTATTTAAAAACTGACATTGCATGTAAACAAATCCAAAATGACTACTACTTTAACATAAATATCTATCAAGCATCCAAGTGTTATAAAGGGATTTTTTAGCTTTTATTTATAAATAATTACAGATTTTTAGAAAATTGCAGAGATAGCACAGAGAGATCCCTGGTATCCTTCACCCAGTTTCCACAAGGGTTCCATCTTATATAAATAGAATACCACATTAAAACCAGGAAACCAATGGTACATTGTTTGCATAGTTCTATATTATTTTATTACATGTGTAGATTCTTATAACTCCATTGCAATCAGGATACAAAATTATTATAGGCAATTTCATTTGTTTTTCTTAGAAATAAAATTATAATTTTGTTTTCAACAACTTATTCTATAATACAATATTAAAATCATCAATATCTATGAGATTATTATTTAGGAAAACTCAATGTTTCTGGGCCAAAGTGAAATTCTAGTAATTCAAATGACCTTCAGTAAACTTACTGCCCTGCACAGATCAGACAATTCCATAATCCAACAATCAGCTCTCCTCAGATGAATGGAAGTGCATTTTTTAGCACACAGTTAATCAAAGACATCTTGCCAAAAACCTTACCAGTACACCAAAACTCTGTTTCCCAGTGAAAATCCTAGACACAAGTACACATACATCTCCTTTCTCTGGAAAAAACAGAGCACTTCACAAGTATCCTTAATTAATTAACAAGTTTACCATAACAAAGAGCACATTAATAAGTATACACAAAGAAACAATGAAATAAATCAGCCAGATTATTCTAAACAAAGTCTTATTGTAGTTTATTTTCTCTAGCAAGTAAATATAAACCAAATTATTGCAAATTCCACTTCTGAATCAACTCACAATGGAGAAATATTTGAGATCTCTCTCTTTCTCACACACACACACACACACACACACACACATAAATCTGAAGTCTTACCTTGGCCATTTGTGCCTGCACGCCATTTGCCTTGAGGGATGCTACAGCTTTCTGTGCGGCTGCAGGACTGTCAAAATCTACAAAACCATAACCTGTGAAAACACAAAAGCACCTGTTAGTACACACAGGTAGCTGCACCTCTATCATAGTGATGGGTATGGGATTATGGTAAGACTTATATCCGTTTCTTCTAAATATAAACAGATTGAATATGAAGGCTCTCAAATCAGTGGTCCTTAGTACTTGGGAGAAATACCACAATAAAGGAGTAACTCATTTTTAGAGAGCAATAAATCAGCAGCAATCTGATTTAGATCTATTTGGTGATAAGGTACTATATTGTTCTATGTCCTAAGTTCTTTCTTCAGTGGATTTAATTCAGGAGTGAGAACAAGATGCTGCAGAATATAAAAATGTCTATCTCTGAAGTTAATTTTCTTACATAAAACCAGCATGTGGTTATCATGAGCCATCACAATAGTACCTGCCACACATTAGGGTTTCAACAAACAGATGCTGGCTGCATGAATAAATGAAGGCTGTGGGTGAGTTAGGACTTCAACCTAGATCTTTTTGGTTTACAAAGCTAGAACTTCATCACAGAGCCTTGCCTCTTCCAATGTTAACATCTTAAAATATTTCAACTGTTCAGTGATCTATGAAGGAGTGATTCAGTAGATTATATTCAAGCTTTTAAAAATAAGAAGCAAATAACCACTTGCTGGTTACCTGAACACAACCTAAAAAGACATGAGTTGTTCATGACTGTGCTCCTGTGAGTGTGTATATACCCAGTAGTAAAAGAATCAATGAAATTAGAGTTTTATATGCCCTAATGCTAACCAATACTGGTCGAGGGCTTAGCCTAATGGCAATGTCAGCTGCACCAAGAATATTTAAAAATATAAATGTTAAAGAAGGAATATGAGGGCAGGTTTGGTGGGTGCTCCTAAAAAGCCAACCATATATTTCTACACCTCCTCTTATCTGTTAAGCAGGGATTTGCTCTGTATTTTCATACATACCCCACTTAGAAGTTTTGAGGCGAGCCACAGACACAAACCTACTAGCCATGTGCTCTGACCCCTCCTCCCCCACCTCAGTAACCAAAGATGAGAGCTAGGGAATTCAATTACCAAGTTGTTTCTTTTAATTAACTTTTTAATTTTCTCCCCTCGAATCCCATCTTCGTTTTCTCCCTCCCAGCATGGAAGCCTAAAATGAACTTGTTACACAGCAGTGTACCATAAAATGCTCTTGAAAAGCTGGGCAGAGAAGCTGTGAAGTTTGTATTTCTAATCCAAAAGGAAGTCTGCTCTGTTAAGTACTGCTAATTCTTCTCTTCCTGCAAAATTCAAACTATGTGGGTAATATGACTATTGCCACCCATAAGGATGAGTAAAATAGAAAAAAATAATAGCAGAAAGAAATAGTATAAAAAGTCAAGATGTGGAATTAGGGCAAAAATTTTTTAAAAAAATAGAATTGAGACATTATCTTCTTATGCCATAAGCTATCCTAGATGTTTGTCATGTTGACATGTAGTGATGTCATAAGAGTTTCATGCAAATTGGTCTCATACTCTTATGTACACATAGAAACTGAGGCACATCACAAGTCATTTAATTGGCAGATTCAAGAAGTGAAACCAAGGCTACATAGACTCTTTCAAATACATCATACAGTGAACTGTTTTACAGTCCTATTTTGTAAACTCTGAAGTTCACCGGAGAGAGGATTTAATTCTTAAAAGTGACTTGGGTTTTTGAAGTTAGGACATGAAATGAAATAATTCATAAAAGTATTCAGTCCAGCTCATTCAGTCAGTGCATTAGTTAATGGACTACCCGGTCTACAGTCAAACTCTCCAAAGGAGGACTGGGCATTCCCCATCTTCTACCTCATGCTTTAAGTCAGTCTTCCTCATTTACTCATAGCTTCATTCCTTCATTCAATACTGAAATGCTCTGTCAGGCAATATGACAAGCATGGTGTATGAAGTCTTGAGAAAAAAAATAGCCCCAGTTCCCACTTTGATGCAACCCACAGTTGAGTTGGGATATGGACATGAGGCAAATAACCAGACGAATGAATCCATGATTATACATCAGCATGTCTCCCTTGAAAGAAAAAGAGAGACTCCAATACAGAATCTAACAATTGATTATTCATTAGTGAAAGTTTTAAGGAAACAGTAGCATGAAATAAAATACATATCACCTTAGTTGAACACTGAATCATCGCAGAAAAAGTGATCTGCATGAGTAGATTAGGGGGATGACTTAGGAGCTATTGCAGCAATCCATAGAAATGGCAGCTGGCAGTGAAATTGACTGGATAAAGTGGATGATTTGAGCTATATTTTGGAGGCAGAATTAAGAGAACTTGGTGATAGATTTAGTGGGTTGGGAGTAAGGGGGCAGATGACAAGGATTACTACTGGGTTTTTCTATAAGCCCTGGGTGAGTGGAGACATGACCTACTGGGATGGGGAGAGTGGAAGAGGTTCCAATAGGAGGGAAAGTAAAGATACTGGTTTGAGACATTGAGTCAGAAAAGCCCATGAGACCTCTCAGTAGAAATGTCAAGGAACAGTTGTACATATTAGGCTGGTGCTCAAAAAAGCAGATGGAATTGAAAATTCAAATCAGGAAAGCAAGAGCATAAAGATGTTATTTAAAGAGATGGGAATAGACAACAATGTCTATAGTAAGTATTTTTTTTAAAGGATCTAGGTTTGGAAACTGAACAGCATCAGCATTTAGGTGCAAGACCAGAAAATGAATTTGCAAAGAAGGCTAAAGGAGAATCCAAGAGGAAGAAGGAAATAAAAAGGAAAGATGATGTCTCAAAGCCAAGGTAAGAACATTTTCCAAGAAGGAAAGAGAGGGTGAGCCAGCAAGAGGCTTGAAAACGCCCAGTGAGCTCAGCAACATGGTGCTGCTAGCATCTTTTGCTTCAGAAAAAGTGATGGGAATGAAAGGCTACCTGAGAAGCTGGAGAGTAAGGCAGAAGAGGAGGTAAAGAGCATTTACAGGCCCTCTCTAGTTAGTTATCTTGACTGAGAGGGAGAATCAAGAGGCAAAGTTGCTAGCAGGGATATGAGCTCAACTGAGCTTTCTGTTGTAGTTGCTCTTTGCTTTAAGATAGGAAATTTGGTGGGTAGATATGTGCTTATGTGGCTGGGAATATTCTCACCTTGTTCCAATGTGAACAACAAATATTTATTGAACACTTATTATAAGAAAATTCTGTTCTTTGCACTTTTGAATATGTTTTGGAAAGATCAAGCCAATAATAAAAGATTAAAGCTTTAAGAAAGCAATGAGATAATACATAGAATTACATTCCTGAGAAGGTAGAGGGTTAGGGAGAGTGTCTAAGACACAGATGAACATATGAAATCACTATGCCTTCCCTCCCAAGAACTAGAAAGAAGAACGAAGTGCAGTCTTGGTTACCAAGTGTTATCCTTTGCTATTCTCTCTGTTACTGGGACTGTACCTAATGCATAGCCAGTACTTAATAAGTATTTGTTAAAATAAACTCAAAGCATGTTTAAAAGATGTTAGATTACTTTTCAGACTACTATGGTGACTAACTGATACAAATGTCTATTAATTATTCTTGATTATAAAAAATAATATTAATGCAATGTCATGGCTGTGGTGTAGCCATGCTTGCCCAGCAAGGCCACCCCATACTGTGTGACTCTTGTTCTTTACTCTAATGTGACTTCGTTCTAACGTCCTCACTTTCCTTCCAACCCACACATTATACAGGATATTACACAATCAAGATGATGATCTCCAGAGCTGAACTCCTATCCAAACAGCAGAAATTTCTGCAAGGACATGAGACATCCTGAGCGTCTCTGAAATAGGGAACTTATGGCTGAACTTTGAATAAAGTGTACATCTCAAGAGTCATAAAGCCAGCCAGGAAAGAGAAAGGGCCCTTCATCCAAAACATCTGTACTGATGGCTCCAAGCCAACAGAGGAGCAAACACTCCATGAACAAAATTATAAATACAGGATAAGTCACCAAATCTGAAGTAGTCCTCTGAGTTAAGTGACTTTCATAAATACTTTCACTAGTTAAAATGCAAGTTCAGAGGTAAAAAAAATATATATATCTAAAGCAACCCTGAAACAAATACTCCCATTCTGGAAATAAACCTTGCATTCCCAAGTTTTATATGACAGCAGATACTACATCACAATCAGAAGAAAACAAAATGAAATACGAGGCTCCCTCGAGAGAATAATGATGCATTTACTGAGGAATAAAGCAACTTCAATTTGGTTTCAATTTGCTTTCCTTAATGACAAATAATCAAGTCTGGGAACAGGAACCTCTGTACCTACATCTGGTGAGGGGAAGGGTAGGGAGATTAGTTCAGCCTTGGCTAATAATGCTTTATGGTCACTGCTAAAATCCCCGACAGAACATGGGCAAATGCTAACCATTGGAAACCCTGGGCCCACGTGGTTGCAAGCCCACCCGTATCACTTTCCCAATTATGTAATTAAGCTTGGCAGCAAGTTCAAATGAATTAAAACGAAATGTCACTGTTTTCTCCACACACCCCTGTCCTTGTTTTTCTTCCTTGTCAGGGGGAGAAGGCCAGCAGTTCTGCAATTAGCAGGAAGTGGAGCAGTGGGAAAGAACAGACTCTGTGATAATTAGGTCATTCGCCAAACGCACTCATTCCATTGACAGATCGAATCAATGCTTTCCTGAAATGCTTTAAACCTTGTATGTTAATTGAACGTTTGGCTATTTTTGTCGCACTACTAGCCAAGTGACTTCAGGGAAAAAAAAAGATAAATATATAAATATGCATTAAATAGATATGTGCATGTATACATGTGTATGAACATATACATGTATGTATATGCAGGTATGCATATGTGGATATAAATATATAATTGCAAGAGGGTTCTTGTTTTGTTTCCTTTATGCAATCGCCATTAACATATTCCCTGTGACCTTTGCCACCCAATTGAACCATTAGGTGGCAATCCACTTAGAATTTCATTCGAAGGCTCTTTACTATCTTTTATAGCTTATTCTGTATAAGCCGTGTTGCTGCTGACTCTTTAAATTCTCTGTTTAAACTGATTATTTATTTACCAACACTGGGATTGCTGCATGTGTGTAAGGAGAGGAATGATAAAACCAGAACTCCTGTTTTAGATTTCCAGTGGCATCTAGAGCCAGCCAAGGGAGCCTTGCTCTCAAAGTGTAACTGCACACTGAATTTCACATTTGTATTGTTCTTCCTTTTCAGAATGACTGCCATAAAAGCCCACTTGAAACGCAGATGGTTTGGTCTAACACCCAACTTCTTTCAAAGACGATCCAGCTGTGAGTCAAATGTGATTTCTGAACAGAATAAGTGAGCGCATTGGCTAAGAATTATAATTCCAACTGAAATTCTACTCAAATTTAACAGTTGAAGATGTTTAAGAATTGGCTTTCCATCAATGCCCCCCTTCCATCTTTTAGACTTCACAGTATGCTATGGCTGCTGTCTGGGCTCAAAATGGGAAGATCAAGTATCAGAAGTGAGGAGCTGCCTGCAAGAGGAGGAGAGTGGGGTATGCATAGTGCCTGGGAGTCTGGTGGCATCTGGCTGCCTCCCTGCCTTGGTATTTTTCCTGGATTTCTCTTGTATCCCTTAACTATTGAGTGATTACCGAATCTCTCATTAATTATTGGACTTTCCATTTTCCAAAGATGGTGGTCAAAAGATAACACTGATAGTGTCGCTGCTACTTTTCACTTATAAAATTATACATAAAACCTAGTCTTTTCTTTGGTATCTTTTGCATCCATTTCCTGTAATTGAGCATTAAGGGGAAGTTTGGATGTGACAAAGGAACCAATAAAAGAATCATGAGTCCACCTTGGAGCTATGAAAAACTAAGGCAAAAGACAAACTGTGGTAGAATGCAAAAGCCAGGGCCAACACAGATTATTTTGGAGAAGAAAAAAGAAGAAATGTTGTTTGTTTTAATAATAGCACCAACAAAACAACTCTAAATCATTACAATTTGAAATTATGTATGCTTTGAAATGTCCTTAGAACACAGGATCCAATGATTTTATAGCAATGAAAGAGCATACATACTGCCTGTAAAAAGGGCTACAGTGTGCCTCAGACATCTAACAAATGTAGGCAAATGAGATGGATGCAATGTACACTACATTGCTTCACTATATTCCCCAGATATTCTAGCTTAATTGCATTAAACATTCTGATTTTCTAATGCCAGAAACACTAAAACAAGATATCAGCTTTTGGAATAGAATTTCCCTGCTATTATGGACACTTTTGAAATATCATATAACTCTCCTGTTATTATCATTATTAAATTTAATAAGTATCTATTACGTGGAAGAAAAATGATGCTCTAGATGCTGTAAGGAAAACAAAGGAAAATATAACCATGGCCCTTTCATAAATTCAAAGAATTTATGGTCTAGTACAATCGATAAAGAAATTTAAATACACTGGAGGGTCCTCTTACACACAGGGCATAAGATATAGAGGTATGGGCTGGGGTTGTGGCTCAGCAGTGGGGCACTTGCTTAGCATGTGTGAGGGACTGGGTTCGATCCTCAACACCACATAAAAAATAAATGAATAAAATAAATGTCCATTAACAACTACAACCAAAAAATATTTTTAAAAAATATATAGAGGTATATGCAAAATAGAACACAATCAAAACTATCTTCATGTTATTGAACTATTTTCATACAGTATATCATGCATAATTTTGCATGTGTAGTTTTACTCAACAAAGCTGAATATCTGGGCTAGATTCCCTTCCATATGTGGCATGATGTTAAAATTATCCACATTCCAAATTATGTATATATGTATGCATTATTCTTTCTCAGTTTGTATGCACAGATGAAATGAATTAACTTAAATACAAGGTACAGAGAGGATCAACACTACATAAGAGTAGAAAGAAAGTGCTAGTATTCTAAAATGGCAATGGATTCTTTTCAGGTGAAGTAAAACTCAGTATATTTAGTGCACAAATAGCAAAAGTGAGGAATGAGAAAAAGAAAGAGATCTCAAATGGAATTTCCTGGCAGGACAAAATAATTACAAAGACAGATAAATTTAGAGAGCAAAGTACTTAGTAGTATGCCACTTGAAAATGGGACAGTTTCTCATTCCATTTATGTTGTACAAAATGTCTTATTAAGCTAAACACAAATTCAAATCCCAAATCTCACTTCCCTCCTCACCCTGTTCAATAGATTTTTAAATGAGACAAATTGCTTCTTTATACTGAATAAAGTCAAAATTAGGATCAGGATCATTATTTATGGGCTTAGTGCAATCACTATGCTTTATGGAGATTAAAGAAACACTGATTTGCCAAAGGCTTCATCTGGACTAACCACTACTTTATTACAATATTGTGTTTTCAAGTAGCAGCATACTTGGTTGTAAATGGCAGATTAACCTCTGGAAGCATCTAGCAAAGATTCCTAAGCTATCAGGCAATGTTCAAAGATTTTAATAAAATATATGTCTGTGGGAACTATGGGTCCTATGTGTCTCTTCCATCAAAACAGCCCAAGAAGCAAGTTTGTAATGATGACTACAGGAGCAAGCCCAGGATATTGATAAAACAATTCCACTGAGCTTGTAAGTATGATGGAAGCAAGCTATAACTAAAGACTTTAATTATAGCTCTACAATCCCCAGCCCACAGTAGGGTAGGGAAACCTAACTAAGATTTAATTCCAGCTGCCCCATCTTCCCCTCCCTCTCTTTGCTCCAGCTTTGCTGATGGGTAGGACTATTCTTCCATGCAAAAAACAAGAGATAATGATCTGGGTGTGTGAGCAACAATTGGAGGACCACCTACTTTCTTCCCGGGTACTTTAATCCACATACACAATCATGGCCCCAGTAAATGACTTGGGAAGCATGTCTGTACTCCTGCCTAACTCAGAAACACCCCATTCCTCATTACCCATAATCTACAGAGGATGAATCCAAGCAGTTAAACCAATCATTCACCCAAAGGGATGCACTAGGGAGCTCAGTGAGAAAGGCAGAGAAAGCAAATCCCACATATAAAATAATCCTTTGAGAAAGCATGCATCACATGCATGCCTGATTACCACCCTCTATATTCTAAAGAGTCCAACTACCAATATGTCACTTCTCTGTATGTTCATACAAGACCCATGTGTTTTTGAATATCATTATTTTCCTGGGAAAGCGCTCCTTCCATAATTTCCTTCTTCTAACCCTTTGACAAAATTCAATTCTAAGTGCTATGAAAGGTTCTGTTAAACTCAGTTGTGCATTTCCCAATTTATGAGCATATTTTATTGAATATGCTCCTCAGTTCCAAGTTTATAGACCTTATTCCATTTTTTTTTTTAAATATCCACTAATACTGTCCCTGTCGCTATGAGACATAGTGGCTTTTTGGACTCCTATTATTTTTCTCCATTCTATCTGACATGCAAAACACAGTTCTGAGTTTTTATTAGAATTTTTAGAATGTTAACTGTATACACAGGCAATTTATACTAACATGTGTACATGTTGTTATAGTTTAAATATTAGGTATCCTCCAAAAGCTTATGTGTAAGAGAATGCATCAAAGTTTAGAGGTAAAATTATTGGATTATGAGAGTGAACCTAATCAGCACATTAATCCCCTGATAAGAATTAACTGGATGGTAACTATAGTAGCCAGGTAGGGTGGAGTAGGAGGAAATGAATCATTGGGGGCATGCCTTTGGGGTATGTATTTTGTACATGGTGTGTGGAGACTTCTTCTGCTTCTTGGTGATCAGGTCCTAATCCAATTTCCTCTACCAGACTCTTCTGTCATGTTATTCTGCCTTACCTCAGACCCCAAGGAATGGAGTCAGACATCTATGGAGTCAGACATCTACTAAGACCTCTGAAACTGTGAGCCTCCAAATAAACTTTTCTTTCTCTAGTTGTTCTTGTCAGGTCTTTTGGTCATAGCAGTGGAAAAGCTGACCAAAACATGTGGTTTAAAAAATCAAGCCAAATAAAAGAACATTCAGAGAAAGGTAAGTTTAATTCCAATAAGACTTGTAGTGCTTTAGTTTAACTTCCTAGGAACTATCCGATAATTCCTTCTCATGGTCCCATAAAAGCAACTAGAATCAATTCTTAATCTCTCATTGTTCTATTATTCAGAAACAGGGATTTATAGAATAGTAAAATAGAATTCCTGATATTAAAAAAATCGTGATTTTTGTGAATGGTTTCCAATGATCCATCTTTTCCCTAAAAATAAATAGTAATTGTTTTCTTCTAATTTTAAAAGTTAAACAGTTCATTATAAAAAATTTTAGCCAATA